GGGGCTTAGGACATGAGGGGCATCGTGGGGGCGGGGCTTGCGTCGGTGGGCGGGGCCGTGGTGGGGGGTGCAAAGACAGGGTTCACAAAGTGAGCGGACAGAGGGACATGGGGGGGTCAGGGGGAGGGGCAGGCCGGGGCGGGAAGGGAAAGGTGGACGGCAGAGACAGAAGGTGGTGCACCCCGCAGTGCCCCGAGGCGGGTCCCTCTCTGTGCCAGGCCCCCTGCGCACACACCCCAACACGCAGGCCCCGGGCTGATCCCACTCCCACCCCGCGGATCGCCCGCGCCTGGGCCCGGACCTCGGACGTCCAGGCGGACGCTGCTCTGCACGCCGTTGGCCACGAACTTGAGCTCGGCGCCCTGCAGGCAGGCGGGCACCTGGCGGATGACCAGTGTGTGCCGCGCGCCCTCGCAGCGGATGCTGTACCGGCCACCAGCCTCCAGGGCCTGCCCGTCCAGGAGCCACTTGCCCGCGGACACCAGCGTGAGGTCCACGGAGAAGGAAACCTCGCCGCCCTCCACCGCCTCCACGGCCTTTAGGGGAGTCTTCACGGCCAGCTGGGGGACTGTGCGGGGCGTCAGGAAGGGCGCCGGCCTCCCCAAACGCCCCGCAGCCCCTGGCGGGGGCACCGCAGGTGGCCAGGCTTCCAGCCACCGCCTGGCTGGTGGGCAGGCCCTGGGCCCGGGCCCCCCGAGAGCGGGCCGCACCCCACAAAGACGCTCCCCGAGGAGCGGGGGTTCGCTCTGGGCCCAGCGTTACGGGGCGTGGGGGACGGGGCCTCCCCGCTCACCCAAGTGGACGGTCCCTGGGAACTCCAGGTAGGGGCTCTGGCCAGAGCTGTTCACGGCAGACACTCGGAACTGGAAATCCCCCTCCTGGGCCACGCCCGCCACGGTCAGCTCCGCGGTGGCCACCCACTCGGTCTCGTGGCACCGGGTCCAGGCGTAGGCGCCCAGCCGCTTCCTCTCCACCACGTAGCCGTCGACGGCCACAGGGCGGCCCCCGGGGGGCGGCGGGGACCAGCCCAGAGTCACGGAACCCTCGGTCCTGGACTTCACCACCGGGGCTTCCGGCGCCAGCAGGGGCGGCCTCCTGGGGGCTGGGGGAACCAGGCAGTCGCGCGGGGCCCCGCGTCCAGGGCCAGCCCAGGGCCGCCCCTTGGCCGGAGACGGCCTCACTCCGGCCCAGGGGCCCGTCGCCACCCGGCAGCCACGTCTGTTTGCAGTGGCGCAGGCGTCCGGCCCTCAGTGCCACTCGGGCCCGGCCACCACGCGCCGTCTGGCAGAGCCCGCGGCCGGCCCCAGGCTACCCTCGGGGAGTCCGGGGCAGGGCATGGCCCCCACACTGGGGTTTCCGCAGCAAGGCCGGCGGAGCTGCCCCTGTCCTCACACTGCTTCTAGAGGCCTCGGCACCTTCCCGCTCCGCTGGCGCCAGGGCGGGCGCAGGGCGACCAGAGCGTGGGGGCCCAGGGCGACCAGGGCGGGCGCAGGGCGACCAGGGTGACCAGGGTGACCAGGGTGACCAGGGTGGGCCCTCCCTGCAGCCCCAAGCCCCTACCCGACACGCAGAACTGGGTGGACGTCCGACAGTCCCCGGCAACAAAGGCCACCTCGCCCACGTCCTCCAGGCTGCACTGGGCAATGGTCAGCGTGTGGCAGGTGCCTTGAGCGGTGATGGCCACACGGCCCCCGGCCACCACCTCCTGCTGGTTGCACAGCCAGCGGACGGGGCCCTCGGGCCGGGCCAGCTCCACACAGAACAGGGCCGTGTCACCCACGCGCACCGCCGTCCTCCGGGGCAGCTTGCGGGTCAGGTTGCCTG